GGTATGTGTATAGGTGAAGTGATGTCCTTGTTTTGCTCCCTATCTAGCCACCCCCTCTGCTAGTGACCAGGACAGGAGGCCTAGCTTGTTTTCACTGTGATGCCAGTCAGTGCGGGTCTGAGTTAACACATTGTGGCTTATAACACGCCGGTGGCAGTGAGCTGGAGATGGGTGACTGGTCTGGCATGGAAAAGGAAATCTGGTGAAACATAAATTCCAAGTTCAACAAAGCTGCACTGACTGTAGAGAGAATTGATTCTCCAGAAAAGTCTTTCAGCTTGACCTGTTGTTTGAGACCGTTTGAGGAAGAGCATTCATTTGGGTTTGGGTCAAAGACCAGACGAGTTTGAGTTTTATTAAATATGCCTTTAACTGAACATGATGGGAGAACTGGGACGGTGGGGGTGAGTTCATCCCTATGTAAGGATTTAAAGCACTTTGTTTTTTTCACTTCATAAGAGACAATTGAGTCATTCAGCTCCCATTGTGAGGCTGCCCAGGCAAGGAGGGGCTCCAGGGCACGGGCGAAAGAGAACAACCTCGGGAAGCAAGTCTGAAAAGAAGAGGGGAGAAGGAAGAAGCAGCGCTGTGAAAGCATAGCTACTGGTTGGCTCTCGTTGGGTGGGAAGGCCTGTTGGGGGCGAAATTGGGGTTGAGCTGGTTAGCGTCTGTGTATGGGTGGAGTTGGGGGCGGGGAGAGAGAGTTATCCTGGAACTCCAGTGCAATTTGTCACTTTGGAATGGCTCTTGAGTTACATGGGGGCCCCCCTCTCATAGCAGGAGAATTTTCAGGTCGCTGAGTGGGGAAGCAGAGGGAGGGGGTCAGAGGTCACGGCCTTACTCAAGCCCAGCCAGTACGTCCGTTAGCAGGCCAGACGGGTGGGTGGGAGACAGGAGGGGGTTGATCTGGAAGCGCACTGTGCTTGCCAAGGCTCCGTCTTCCTCGACATGCCTATAAAACCATAGCGTGTGAGAACATTTGCGATATTAAGGTTGAGGTGGAGCCACCGATCCTTCGTCTCACTTATCAATTGGTTCAACACTAAGGAGGAGTGGGGGTCACCTTCACACTCCTTCCTCACCTCTTCTCCCGGGTGGAACTGTGTTAGGGTCTGCGTCTGTCAGCACATGTTAACATGACATTGTTTGTTTGCTACATGTGAATTATGGAGTTGCACTGATTAGAGATGTGGTTTGTTTTCTGTCAAGGATTTCTTAAAGCTCTGACTTCTTAATATTAATTTTAGTCAACATATTTACGTAAAATAAGGAGGCGCCAGACATAAGACAGAGCAGGTTGTATTACGCAACTCTTCAGTTGAGCTGGACTTAAAAACAAATATGCAATTATTATAGAGTTGAGGCCTTTTTTTGGTGTCTGGCATGGTTAGCGTGGATAGCTGGGTTAGCTTAATAAATTTATGCTTTTATGATGACCGAAACATTTCCAGCATTTCTCATTGAGGATGTTCCACAGCATATAGTTAGACTGAAGTCTTCCTGAAAATTAACCAGAGAAACTTTGAAACTGGCATAGGGTCATAACAAAAACAGGAGACCATGCCATGGTTAAAGGTGCAGAAAGTGAATATTTAATAAAGACGATAATATTAAGAAAAACTACAATGGAAGGTGAGTGACAGTATCAGTGGTGCAATGGAAATGCTTGGATGTGTTGTAAGCATGCAAATGGGAGTTGTGAGTTGCGAAAACAAAGGTAAATGTGCATGATGAGAGGAGATGAGGTCTGGGAGCGCACACGTCAAGAGTTCTTAAACACTGTGCTCTGGATCAGCAGATCAGTAACACCTGCATAGAGGACAGACGCACACGAACACCAGTAGCCCAGCTCATAAGGCCTAGGACCATAACAACTCCAGAAAATAACTTTCCCGTCTTGAAATGTATGTGTGCTCCATGTGTAATTACCTCAGTGAACATAAAATAGCTAACTCTGAGTCAACTTCTCAGCAGCATTAGTTTGATTACTGTATTACTGTAGACTTTGAAATTCCTAATCAACCAATCTCTGATCCACCAATCTGGATATGTGTGAAAATCATCTGATTCCAGTAAGTGGGTGATACCTCATATATAACAATTATGTCGCTCTTCTCGTCCTGTTCTTTCTTTGCTGTGAAAAGTCCTCTTTTACTCTTAGCAATTATTACCTAGTGTGGGTAAAGGGGGGGAGTGGTTCATGAAAAACCCACAGGAGCTTTTACAAGTTTTCCTTTTTCCACTCATACAGACATACAAACAAGCATAAACAGTTCTGGTGCAGTAAAAGTCGTCTTTGGGTCATAAACGATGCTGGAGAGCGACCCGGCAGCAGGCAGTTTTCTCCGCGCCAGGGCTGTAACTGAGGACAAGCAGTCAATAACTCCCTCCAGCGTCTTCCACTGGCAGGCACCCCACAGTGAACTCTTGGCTAATTACCACTGATTTAAACACAGTCTCAGAAAGGGTCGTGACACACTCGCTCTCCAGCCAGCTCTGACACACACACGCAAAGTAGAACACACTCGTATAAACTAGTGACCACCTTTGCAAAGATGGCAACAAAAAGAAACCAAATGTCCCCGGATAATTAAGCCCTGCTTCCCCCTTGCACCTCATTGATCGCATGAGGAATGGACGACAATTTATTAAACTTTTTCGTCGCCGAGTGCCAACATGTGATCCCGGGTTACAATAATTATGGCGAAATGTAACAGAAGCTACTCAAGTCATTACCGCAACACCTTGGCAAGTCACAAAATGGTTTTTGAAATGGTAGGAAGAGAAGAAAGAACCCTTCAGATTTTTTTTTTGATCATATCCAAAAGTTTGTGTCTGACCAGCGTTACAGACGCAACTCAGAGTTCAGGCTTTTCACAGCTCTTTAGTTTCATTGTCTTGAAATTTTTTAATGAGTATCTGTGGCACAGAGGTTACAACACAGGCCTGCTGCCCTACTGCATTAATTACCTGACACCAGTGATTGGTCCTGTTTCTTCATTTGGTTGCTAAAGACCTTATTCTTGTTTTTTTATACCAGCACTCTGGATTTTAAAACTGAGTCAGCTTTTTACTTTAATTTAAAAAGCTACAGTTCTGGCTTGAATATTCATTTTGGGCTATCATTAATTTATTTAATTCTTGTGTTTTTGCAAGATGGGAATGATTAGACTACATGAATAATAACTTTAGAGAATTGTGGATTTTCTCCAATCAAAATTATAATAATATGTTTACTCAAATAAACATGCATTCAGTTAAATCTTTTAGTAAGAAGCCCTGGAGGAATTTCTTATAACCCGCAAAGTTTGATTAACTTCTTAGTAATCATGATTTACTGCAACTGGTAGTTTCTCTGTCCCAGCATGAAACTAATTTGTTTGCCAACACTCATTGGTTTAACTAGTACAGTGAACCAACACCTATTTGTGGATCAGTATTCACAGATTTATCTGTGGAACATAACTCAAAATTATTCTTGGATAATTTTGTAGAGCTTATGTAATGTTTTCAAAAGAAATGCAGCTTGGGAAGCTGAAATAGCTTGGCACAATGATACTTCACACGCAGTTAAGTGGAGTTGGAAGATAGCCACTCCATGTTTCCATTCATTTTTCCTTCGTGCTGATTGGCTGTACCCCCAAGAGTAAAGACAAGAAAAACTGTTAATGTTAGCTTCTGTGGTAGTGTGGTAATTTAATGCATATTAATATGGGTTAGATGAGACAATTTTGATCAGTTTAGCCTCGGTGACAAGAACGATCTCAAAGGTCACTGGTTCAAACTCATTCTGGTGGATACTTCCTGATTTGGGGCTGTTTTGCAGCTGGTGCATTGCTGTTGATAGAAGACGGGTGGCAGTTTTTTTCCATTCAGAATAACAGCAAAAGCTTTCTTATTGTCTAAAATGCACGTTGTTGAACTGAGAACATCAACAGTAAAATCAACGTTTTGTACCTTTTTTAAGTTCATTAAAGTTTTTTTTTCACATGGATCAAATAAATAATTAAAAGATCTAAATATTTGTTATTTTTGCCTATGTAACTTGTTTCTCTGTAGCTTTTTTACACGGCCACTTTGACCTTTTTACCTCAGGATAGGTGGCTGTAACATTGAAAAGCAAAGTTTGACTTGTCATGTTGTAGCAAAGTCAACAGCAGGCCTTCAGTGGCTAAAAATAAATTCAGATTACTTCAGTGTGAGAAATGACATTTCATTTCAATAAACACTTATATTCAATTAAAAGGTACAATCAGCTGTAGATTGTTCTATCATTTATTGCTACAGACAGATGTTTCTCATGACCCTTGTTCCTGCTTATCTGTGTTTCGTTTCATTTTATTTCCTCCCTTGGTGTAGGCGTCTTTAGAGAAACAGGGTGGGGAGGGGCGATGGCAGACATTCTGACTTCAGATAGAAGCCAGGTCAATCATTTATGGGGCAGTCAGGTGGTTCAGCCACAGAGGAGCGTGGTGAGGGACCACACTTTGCCTCGTTTTATGATTTTCAGTAAAACCTGTCACACTGATGACATGAGGTCACCATAAAGGCGTGGAAAAGAAACCAAAATACGTTGCTTTAATTTATCTCAGAGTGACTCAGACATAGTTAAAATCACCAGTCTGCTACTTAAGAGTAAATGTATTTTTTTGTTGTTTTTCCACACTTTTTCTCTGTAAAAGTATGTGCTTTGTATTTCTGAAAGAAAATGATATACATTATTTAGTTTATACAGCTTCTGTGTGTGCTCCTTCTCGACTCTTAGATGCATGCTTCAGGCCATTCTCATCGCCTCCATCTGCCTTAAAGATTTTATTTGCGTCTCCATATTTTTGAGTTTTCACATCCCTATGCACTTGTCGAGAAATGTCTCCCCCCTTTGTTTTGTCCTACTACTTTTTGGTTTTGCCTCCCCCTTTCCTCCTTCCGCTCCCCTTTTTTTGCATTGTTAACATGTTTTGTTTTCTTTCTTTCCATTCTGTTTCCTTTCTGCCATTCAGTACCTACAGATGAAATGGCCCCTTCTAGATGTTCAACCAGGAGGTCTTCAGAGTAGACAAGCACTTAAAGATGCCAGGTCCCCGTCACCGGCACACATTGTCGTAAGTAAATCCTCCGCTCAGTTCTTTTTCACCATCTAAGAAAAAGCTTCCCCCCTCCTTCTTCGTCTGTTTTTGACTGGACACTTGTGTTTGTTTCGCCTAAATCACAGCCACTAACACACCCAAGCCACACTAATTCTCCTAAAAATGCACATGTGGACACTGAAAGGCTTTGTGGTTGTGGACTGGTTGATCACGAGGTGAGTGGCAGCGGTGGAGACTCCGTGGCAGACGCACCTGTTGTTCTTTGAACCACCCATGTCGTCTGTAATCTCTTGGAATGATAACTCTCGGCTCAGGGTTGCAATTAGTTGGATTTTTATGGGCAATTGATTGCGGTATAATAGGAATAAACAAATGCTGGGCTGCAAAACACATGTCTGTGAAGGAAGCGGGGGCGTTTCTTTGCTCCATCATTGATCACACTGTCCATGGCATTGGAGGGTTGCCCTAACGATACATACAAATGACAGCATGGACCTCAGGCATGTCTATATCTGCCGGCTCTAAAATCAGCAGCTTAGTTTAAGGCTGAAAGTTTACAAGAGGTCGGTAGAAAAGTTTTATCGTAAGTTTTATCGTACGTTTGTGGTCACGTGGTTGGCGAGCGCGAGGAAAATCAATATGTGTGGAAATAGAGAAGTAGATCTGATGTGACCATTAATGCCTTGGAGCAATTCCAGCTTCTGTTTTTCTTTTTGTGTGTTTTTTTGTTTTTGTTTAAGAAAATGAACATTTTCACGGCACAAAACTTGTCAAAGCGTCCCTCATGCGTTCTTCGTCCAGCGTGCCGTTAATTTGTCGTTACGGCTCGGGATTCGCACTCTGGAGGATGTGGTGATTATTTTTCACACAGATTACACTATTGAGACACGCTGTCCCCTCTGAGTCACATTTGACATTCAATCATTACAGCCTCTTTTATGGTCTATTATAAATTCCTTCTCGAAAAGCCGGCAAAGCGAGGCCTCTTGGTATTTCGCCTGCTATTTAAGGAAGCACGTCTTAAAATACTTTACTTGAATCAGAAATGTTGTCAAAAGTTGTGTTTAAAGATGAGAAGGAGATAGCAATGATGGTGTTATTCAAGGAGAAGGAAAAGGAACTCGGAAAAAGTGTCTTATTCTATGTGTGGTTGCTGGTGGTTTTATACCTTTTACCCTTGTTATTTCTGGAGATGTTGGAGGTTGGGGGGGGGCAAAAGTCCCAGCTCACATGATGATGTCATTAAATCTGTTATATATTATTGCTCTGACTTTTAGGATATGTCATGTGTTTATTTCATCCTCATTCTGTTTTCAAAAAATTAGCCATGTTTGTAATGAGCTTACATGTGCAGAAAGTTTCGGGACGGTAATTTCTGGTTATCTTTCCGCGGATTCAGATCTTTTCCCTTAATGCTAAGGAAACTTCCTTGGTGGTAATTTTGAAACCAACAAGTTTCAAAATTACCATCGCTTTTAAATCACAAGGTCACTGCTAAAGAAGCTAGCTTTTCTGGATGTTGGAAGCATATTAATGGAAAGTTGAGTGGAAGGAAACACTGCTTGATGTTAAATTGGCATCTTTTTTTCTTCTCTTCAGTAGAAACTCTTCTGTTTGGCCTAATTACCAAACAGACATAAACAAATCAAAAGCAATGAAACAGATAACCCTGAATAAATAATGACACTGATCAATACCAGAAATAACCGATTGTAATGTCTGTGCTCCTATTACCCACTTTTGTCCGATGCGTTTGATGCACAGGCTGGTTAAGATCAGAGGCCTTGCCGCAGCGCTGTACAGACGGTGCACAACTGCCTGTTAGTAGAAGTGATGAAACCGAATGTGAAATGCTGCCTGTATTGTTGGCTGCTCCCCCCGATCTGTTCCAGCATCCACCTCTGGCTGAGACGGGAAGTGGGGTTCAATGTTTCCCTCGTTTGCATCATGCATGCTGTCATACATATAGAAAAGGAAAGATTAGCTGCAGGACAGCTGCCGTGAATTGTAATGACCACCTCATGTTGAATCCTGCAGGTGTCACTCCAAAAAAAAAAAAGCCTCACTGTTCGGGTGCACGATGCTCTTATCTGCGAATTTGGCCGCCAACAGTAGCTCTGTTTTGTTTGCGAATGCACTGAATCGTTCAGGTGCCTTGACCTCCGTCTGCCTGAAGCACGAACAAGCTGCACAGGTGGCGATAAGACGGTTGGAACAATAATAAACAGAAGCAAAGATGGACGTGGATGTAGACGAGGAATAAATATGAAGTCAAATGGAAAGCTCAGTTTTTGGAACGATGGAGAATCAGCTGAGAGGAGGAAGTGACCTCATCATGGCTGTTCTCCCAGAGGGCACGCTGGATGTCCCGGCTTGCCGTGCCCTTCGGAGGAGGTCGAGCTGGATCCTTTTTGAAGTGCGCGACCGCCCTGCAGGCAGCCTTAAGACCTGCCGCTGCTGAACTTTTGTGCTATTGGCTGAAAATAATTCAATATTTTATCCACCTACTGAAGTGCAGGTTTGGAGGGTGAGCCCGCAAAACAATTTTTGGGCATCACGCAGCTCCTACGGGGAAAGATCAACAATGCTAAGTATTTATTCATGTGTTGACACGGCGCTGCACACCAATAAACCCTTTTTAGATGCGTTTGAAACATAAATTAGGCTGATAAATGTTGAAAACTGCATCAGCTTTACATATTTAGTCCAAAGGAAAGTTTAATGATTCACAAAAGTATTCATACCACTTAATAGTTTTCACATTTTTCTCATTATTGCCAAGATTTGATTTAATGTGATAGGCCAACACAGAGTGGAGCATAGCTGTGAAGCAATATTTTCACTTCACCCTAAAGAGAGGGGGACTGATTGCACCAAGTACAAAATAAACCTCACCTGAATCTAATTTAATTAGTAGAAATGCAGCTGTTCTCTTATGGCCTCTGAGGTTTAATTATTTTCAGAAAATACAACACTGAACTCAATCCACATTGTGAAATCTGAAAAGTGTGGCATACATATGTAGTACGTACTTTGTAGAACCCTCTTCTGGTGCAGTTACAGTCTTTTATGGGTGTTTTTTGTTTTGGGTTGCGAAGTAGCTGGTTGCTTACGGTTTGGCTATCACCGCAAAAAGATAATGCTGCCACCACCATCTGCTACTGTTTCCAACAATGGTTTATCTTGCCAGATTTGTGGAGTGCGAAAAACGTCTTTGTGGTATTTTGGGGGAAAATACTGATAATGATACAGTGTGGGATTGTGGGTATGTTTAGCTGAAGTAACGAATATTGCCAGAGTTGTGGTCATTTGAAAGTGTAGGGAAATATACTTTGTGTGGTACATATTATATCTGCAATATTTCTCCTGGCATTGGCCTAAATTTTATTATTGGAGCCTCCATAGCTCAATGAGAGGATCCAAGATTAGGATATTGTTCTAGAATCTAATTCTGCTTTTTAACAACTTCATCCCTGAAACTGCCTGATTTATTCGTGGCCTTTCAGTTTTTGCTTTGCTTGATTGTGTTACAGCAGGATCTCCCAAACATCCCCTACATTTCTAATTTTTTTTAACCTAAATTTCATTCAATGGGGCAATAAAAAAAGGTCTTAAAAAAGCCCTAAATTTGGTTTGCTGAAACATGCAGACACCCTGCTGTAATAAATATGAGGCCAGAAACAAAACAGCTACATTTATACACACATAAAATTCCTTATAGGCATTTGAGTAAAAAAAAGGCTTGAAGACAAAGGCCTGTTCCATCACATGAACAGCGTGTTCATGTCCTTTACTATGTCCTCATAGTAAAGGACATTATTCTGCAGTTCAGAATATGGAAAAGCCCAAGAGGGTGTGAATACTTTTGCAGGGAGGTGGCTCTGTGTAGCATGAACTCAGCGAGACAATGAGCCAAATCAGAGTGTTTAGTAAATCTCCAAACTTGGGCTGCGTGTGTTGATATCATCAACAATAACACAGCGGCGGCCTCAGCAGGAGTCCAGGCTTGTGTTGGTGATGTCATGATGTCACGTGAGCAGGGGGTTAGGGGGGAGGTGAAGGAGGTGAAGGAGGATCTCGTCTCAGTCATGTGATTAAAGTTGGTTTGAATTTTTAGATCCTGCTTTAGCAGAAAAGGTATGAAAGCAAGTTAATTCTTATCTTAAGCTTTGAGAGGGAAAAACATCCTCTGCTTTAAGAGGCTACACACTGATTTCTCTCTCTCTGTCTCACACACACACACACACACACACACACACACACACACACACACACACACACACACACACACACACACACACACACACACGTGCACGCACGCACAACCTTGGAGTCTAGAGTCTAGCCCTGGCCAAACAATGTCTCCATTGTTTTGTGGGCTTTCACTGGCAGCAGGGGACGGCTGGAGTGTTAACCATTTCCCAACTGCACCTCACTGTGTGTGTCACTGTGTGCGTGGGTGCGCGTGTGTGTGCATGTGTGTCAGAGGTAGTGAAGCATTGGCTTTTAGAGTGGTGAAGAGAGAGAGAGAGAAAGAGAGGGAGGGCATTTGTTCGAAGTGTATCGTAATTAGTATGGAGGAAGTGATGGAATCCGTTCGTTTTTACGGTGTGCCGGACCTCCCACCTACCTCTACAACCTCCGCTTTATTTCCATTTAGACAAACTTGTTTTCCTGAGGAATGTGTGTTCACACTACAAAAGCACAAAATTATACCAAGCGTTTTTGGTCTCAATCCAAGTATACTAACTTACAAGTAACTTTCAGCAAGATATAGGAGCTTCTTTTATGTAAATAATTCATTAATATTAAAAAAGTACTAGATCATCTAGTAGATTATTTAACTTATAAGATGGGAAAAATGACCTGTTAAATATAAAATAATGTGACAGTGGAAATACTACTTTTCTAAATTAATATTAAGGAGTTATTTATTTAAAACAAGCTCATGTACCTTGCTGAAATGTTACTTATAAGCTAGTTTTGTCTCAAGTGAAACAAGATACTTGCACAGGAAACAAGACGAGAAATCCTTGGTGAGATTTTGTGTTCTTGCAGTGCAGAAAAGAAGGCTGAAAAACAGAGCAGCAACCTGGTTAAACATTCAGAATAGACTCATCACAATGATTGTGGATTCCTGTAGCGGGTCAAAGAACTCCGACTCTAAGAGGGAAAAAAAAATAAAAAAGAGGCAGGATCACATTCACCTTCTGGGACCGCTTCTCTATCCACCCTTGAGTAGCGGGGAATGAAAAAGGGGGCTTCCTGTGGTCTGAATATCCCATATACCTGGGCTGGCCAGACAATTGCAAGGGACTCTGGGAGGCCCAGCCTTCACTGTTGTTAATGAGCGACCCCCATGGTCAACAGGCGCCACCCACGCACCGTCCTGACTCCGCCGTCTTTACGTTAGAGGCTCTTTCTGTCCCTAACTTCTGCTGACCTTTAACTGTTCTTTCCTGCTCCATTTTAAGCCTTCATCCAAATAACCACCTCCCTCCTTTCTGTCTTCTGTTTTTGCATGCATCCCTCCATCCATCCCTTGCTGCACAAGAAGTCTCACATCCCACACATTTATTTACGGTTGTTTCTCAATTTTGAAAGCAGAAATACTCTTAGCATGTAGGGTTATGTGATGATAGAGGGTTTTTTTTGTGTGCATATTTTATGTGACAGTTTTATTCTTATCGACCAGTTTGTTTCGGCCATCTTGCCTCTTCCGGCGACGGGCGCTTGCTGGAGAGGGCCACGCTTGCGTCATCGGCCTGGACGAGACGTGGCGTCAGCCTCGGGGACTATGACAATGAGAATGAGAGCACCTCGGTCTTTGTGTCTGTCCAGTAGTCTGGATAGCGGTTCGTTCCCACAGACAATCCACTCAGTGTTGGCTCACTTTGCAGCAATCCCACAACAACCGACTGCAGATTTCTTTTTTCTTCTCCTTTGACTTTAGAGTGAATCTTAGAATATTCTAAAACGCTTAACAGATAGAATCTGTACTGTTTATGCTTTTCACATTTTGTCACCAAATCATTTATGTGATAGAACAGTCCAAAGTATTGCATTATGGTGAATGGAAGGAAAATAATGTGTTTCGACTTTGTTTGAAAATAATTGGAAAAATGTGACATGCATGTGTTTTAAGCTAGGTCTCGGTTCAGTTAAAGTAGACTCTGGTGCAGTTCGAATGTATATATGACTATCAAGCGAACTGGAAACTACTCAAAAAGCAGAAAGTTAACGATAACGCATTGTATTTATCCAGTAGGCCCTGGCATTAGCGGAAAAAATGTCTCATCTGCCGAAGAGAAAAAAGAAATTGCTAAAATCTGACGGTGCTCCTCAGTTGTTATTAGGTGTGAAAACACCCTTATTTAGGCCTCAAAAGTAAAGATTTACTCTGACTGAACCAACCAAAAAAGACTTGGAGTCTGTTTTGGTCAAAAGTGCGTGGCAAGTTGACCGCAGGTCATGAGTGACTCAGGAAGTGAGACAAACTAAAACCTATTGCTAATCTAAAGAGCAGTGAACTTGAGAAGCTTTTAATTCTGGTGGGATTTCTGGAACATACCTGAATGCTCAATCTCATGAGTCCAGAGGTCCTTTGATGGACACTGCATGCCTGGGAAGAGCCAGACGCAAGCGGTGTGTTTTAGCCTGTAGTTTCTTCATGCCATGTCCCAAAGTTAATTTGTGTGAGGAATTGTAGTCTTTTTGTTGTTTCTCCTTGTTGACTGCTAAATAACCCCCCATGAACTTAAGCTAACCCTTGCTGAGGGGTGGGCATGTGGAAGTCTGTGTTGGACACATTTTAACGGCATAATGGATATTTGCTCGCGTGCGTGCGCTGCGCCAGTAAACCACAGTGTTTACTGACTAGCTTTTATGAGGAGCTATCTCGCTGGCCTGAGGGTCAACACGAGTAGAAGGAAAACCCAGCGATCTGAGTGCACAGTAGCTCTTGGGTACCAGAGCCCTTCAGTAAACTAAAAAGCCCTGTTGCTTCCCTTTGCATGTTGTTTGACTTTTACTAGTTTATCCCTTCCTTTGTTTTCAATCTCAACCTTCTTTTCCTCCTCTTCTGTCCTCTGCCATTTGTTTGTAATTTCATCTTTTGCTTTTAGCTACAGGATAGTTAAAGCTCAGATTTCCCTCTGATAAATTTAAATGTCTATTTCTTTAATGCATGTTATGAATTGGTAAGTGAAAAGTCATCATGTAATTGGGATTAAAGAAGCTTTGACATCATGACTTGTGTCACCGAGGCAGAATCCGACCAGCTAGTGCAGCTGAGTTATCCTTGTTCACACCGAGGAGGTGAAATGTTTTAGCAAAGCGCAACGTTGTTTTAACAACCAGGCAACTGTAAAACCAGTTGAGAGCCAGCACACTCCTGTTTTCCCTGTGTAAAACCAGTTCTAACGGAGCCCATCGAGAGCTAAGCCAGCATGGGTGAGGTGGTAGCTTAAATTAGTAAAACAGCCAGGGGATGCAGCTTTTTATCCAATACGAACATGTTTCTTTTTGCATAAAACCTTCTGCTGAGATTGTATGCAGAGCTGTGTGTGCGTCTGTGTGTGTGAGAGAGAAAGAGATTGAGAGAGAGAGAAAAAAAGGAGAGATGGAGAGCTGATATAATTGTGTGACTTGGGAACGTCCATCTTTGCCTTTCAGGGGCCCTTCTGCTGGGAATTCCCCGGACAGTCAGATCTGAGCCTTCACCAATTTCATTTGGTGAGAGACCTTTGAATTCCAAAAATAATATGCTTTTTTTTTTTCATTTGACTGATTATGCACTCAAATTACCAACTGATTATTTATTGATTATTTAAAATGGCAAAAGTAGTGAAAAACCTTAAATTGTGACAATGACAATCATAATCATTCATTGCTGATTTGCTGTTTATATGCTACTGAATGTCTGCAATGCCTTATTATGTGAAATCAAAACTCAAATGTTTATGTATGATGAATGGTGCTGATAATGCATTGATTAATGTATATAACTGTATTGATGTTTTATTGGATGTTTAGGCATTTTCTTGCTTTGTTTGGCTTTGAATTCTGGACAGAGCCTTTCAAAGATAATTTTTCCATTTGAACTTTTCCACTTTTTGTCACATAACTTCATTAAATTCAGCTGGGATTTTTTGTAGACCAACACACAAAAAGATGTGTTGGTCATGGTTTATTTTGCCCCTTTCACTTTGATACCGTAAAATAAGAACCGGTGGAAACAATTGGACCAAGTAAGACACTAAATGTGTTCAGCTGTGTGTGTTTGAATCTGTTCTGAGAAGGCCTCTTTTGTTTTTCAGAGAACATTACTGAACAAATATCATTACAAAGGAACACAGACTGCAGAAGTCTGGAGACTTGAGTGGACAATCAGTCAAAGATGCTATGAGATGGTTTCGATCAAAGCATATTCTTTTGGCCCAGTCAAAGTCCGGATCTAAATCAGGTTGAAAATCTATTTTACTCGACCTCATTTGACCCAAAAGCTATTCTCACAGTGAACGGTGAATCTATAAAGCCTTGACTTTTTTTCCAAAAAGTTAAAGGTGTATTCCACTGTCTTTAGTTCATAACTAGGCCGGTCGTAATCACAAATTACTGGGCAATTGTCCCAGACGTTATTGCAATAAACAATATTGTTGTGTTGAGAACATAATTGGTATAATGATGGAACAGTAAACCCTGTCAGATATTATTAAACTTTCATTTCTAATGAATGCTTAACACTATAATTGGAAGACTTTTTAAATATACAAAATAAATAAAACAACTGAAGCAATAATTAAAATAGTTACTGAAGTCTGTAAATAAAATTGTCCTTCAAAAACAGGGGTTAAACCTTTGTCATCCGGTCTGTGGTCGAAAGAGAAATGAGAAAAACAACCATGGAAATAGTAATTATCAAGCTTATTTCATTTGTCATGTGATTAATTGATTCATGCACCAGCATTTGTTGGTCTGTCTCGTAAAATCCCAGTGGAATGCAATGAAGTCTGTGGGTTTAATGTGACAGCAAGTGGAAAACAAACTGTTTTTGTCTTTTATTTGGTTTCTATCATGTCTTAACCGTTTCTTATTGACATCCTTTTATAGGACAAAGCTTTTTACAACAATCTGTGATTTTTATGCAGCTGCTTTTGAAAACAGCCCTGTGTCCTCACACAAACTGGCTAACAGAGTTTTCCTCACACAAAGATGCAGTAAACTGGAGTGTTTACATCCACTGGTTGAAGATTTAGAGTCCAGATAACCATGTTGGACTCTGAATGTTCCTCTCTGATTCCGGTTTTTCCTGCATCTATCTAAAACCCCTCAAAGTAATCAAAAAGCGGAGCCCGAAGGTAAGGTTAGCTGTTGTTTGTAGTGCCGCCACGCTGACATGATGAGGGACTTCAGTAAGCCTTGTTTGGATTCGCCTCAGTCAGGCACTGTGAAGCCAGAAATAGGCCGGGCATTACCAAAACCCAGAAGAGAGGAGGCTTAATCTCCTCTGAGGCCACTGCGGCCTTCTGGAGGGCTCACTCCAATTGTTTGACTAATCAATTGCTTGTTGATTATGCACACTCTGCCAGGACCTTTGTTGCCTGTAAATAACACTAAATAAATGAAAGAAAAACCAGTCAGGAAAGATGTTAAATGACGTTTGATAGACAGTAAAAAAAATATATATATATTTTTTTTTTTTTCTCGTGTCGACTTGATGCCTCAGTTCCCTCCCTCTGTCTCTGCTAAAACTTGTTTGACAAGGTCTGGCAGGATCAACTTTGGGTGCGCCAGTCTGTCTTTTGGCATGTGTGTGTACGTGTGTGTGTGTCTTACAAACACACCTTTGTCTGCGCCGGTGTGGACGCAGCGTCCTTGAGCCTAAGGTGTGACTCGAGTCTTGGATGACGGCTTGTCAGGGTGAAGCGAGACGATGATGTTTCCCTTTAACAAAGAGAGCTGGCCTGTGGAGGCTTTGAAAACAAACAAACAAACAGAAAAAAGAAACCCATCGGTCTTAGTAAGATTTTTCTAATTGCTGTCTTGCACAAAGAACCAGGATCAAGAGTCAGATACACTGCCGATGATTAATCGTGATTCCTAACGAACCACTCCCACCGTCGACTGTCAGAGCGTGCTCATCTCTGACAAATTCCCCTGGACGGCTTGATCTGCATTCTGCAGGGCGACAGCAGACTGTGCAGCTCGGCACGCCGCTGCATTAACACTGGAGGCCGTTTGCGCAGAGGAACTTGTTTTGACAGAGCTCCAGGTGCCTCATTGTTGGTGATGGCATGGTTCAACAGATTTACCAATTAGCACCGGGCCGAGGGCACGGGAAAGGGTGGGGCGGGGGCTAAAACGGGGGAGCTGCAGTGATGGAATGAAGTTCTGAGTGAGGGCGGGAGGGGAAGAGAGGAGGGATGTTGGAGTATAAGGAGTAAGATGATCCTTGACCTCATTTCCCTCCCTCCCCCCCTTGTTCCCAGCTGTAGCATGTAAAGGAATGATGGGGTGGGGGGGTTGAGGTTGAACCACAAAGAGGAGGGGAATTACGTAGCAAAAGGAGGAGATTCCAGCTGGAAGTTGCGGAGTGAATTTAAAATCCTGCTGTTTGTCGAAGCAATTTTTTTCTGTCCCGTTCGAGTGACTAACCCTCCCTGTTACTCATCAGAAAAAAGCTGCCTTTTTTTTTTCCAGGAAGTTCGGGAGGGAACAGGTTGAACTGATTCTCCAGCTGTGCTCCAAAGGTTTTAGGGAGTTTCTGGCTGCAGATTCATACATCAGTTCTCCGCGTGTTTCAGGCCGTAGCTGCATTGAATCTAGTCTGCTTTATTGAGTCAAACAAAGAATTTCAAATTAGCTCACAGGTCTGTGTTTGTTGTTGAATAGCGTTAACCATAAATAAGAAAAGTTTGCAGCCACTGTTTCAACTAAACAATAGGAAATATCACAAGAAGGATCAGATTCTTTCTGTATGACGATCTTCAGTAACATCTGCGCAAAAATTCAAAACAAAAATGTAGAACATGATAGAACTTTATTTTTATTCATAACAGAAAAACAGTTATTTATACTGTTGCAAACAGTATAGTTTACAAAATGTAACCCAAACATTTATTTATTTTAATTTTAAAATAGACTTAATTAAAAATGTGTTGCATGCACCTGATGTTTGCTGATTAATTAGTAGGGCTATGTGCTCTGGCTGCCACCCAGCAGTTAGCTGCTTAATGACAACATCTGTAGCTCTCCATCTGTAGAAAATGGCATTAATTAAATACTGAGTAGAAATCACTATTTTTCTTTCAGGTGAGTGAAAGGTTTAACAGCCTTCTTCAGCCAGCTGACCTGGAGGTTGCAGGACAATGTGGCACATGTCAAGAATCTGACATCTCAGTAAAAGGATGGGTCAGAGGGAGGATCTTTGAGGTTTCGAACCGCAAAGATTTGAAAACGTCTTTACACCTTAATACCAAAAATCTGTTTGTGAATAGCTGGTGGCGGTTTGGACCTTTAGTAATTTAGCATATCCTTCCAGAAAATCTGGAAACTTGAAGTGCATCATTAAACACTTTAACTATCCCAATTTAATATTTAATTGAAGTAAAACCATATTTTAATAATCAATTTAAGAAACACTTCCCACCATACTTGGCAAAACTCACCTTATCTCCTGCATGGGAAATGCAAAGTCTTGTCCTAAACATCCTATATTGGAAGTATTTAGTCTGTTCTTTCCTACTTTTCTTCTTCCCTCCACTTTCTTCCTTACTTGCTTTTTAAACGTTTTTATATTAATGCTTTTAACAAGCATATTGGACCCCAGAGATTTGACTTTGGAAAAGTATGGAATTTGGCAACCATAAATTTTCCAGACCTCTCAAATTATTCCTGACCAACCTTTCCCATGCACTACGTTATTAGTAAATTAAACGACCCACATCAAGCCCAGGCCAAACAAGTAGCAGATCCGTTTCTTTGCTAGTTTCAGATCTGTGCGCTTCTTCGTGGCAACCTCTGACTGAAGCCTTCGGAAAAGCGTCTGTTTTTTGCATACGGACAAGCTGCTTGTGATTGAGAGTGACGGAGACAGCTTTTTGGAACTGGAAGAGCACGCTGGGACTACAGCGGGGTAAAAAGATGGGAGGGAAAACAAGGAGCCCCGCCAAAATTCCCCAAAGGACAATTTACTGTTATGGATGGATACGCCGTCGCAGTCAAATTTCTGCTCTGTGGACCGGACCGGGAAGGGAGGGGAATGCTGAGTGATTCCAGAGAGCACTTAAGCCGCCTCGAATTCAGGTTTTCTGTCCCCACCCGCCTGATGATAGGACAGGGTCTTTTCTTTGGAGTTTGTGGGGGTAAACATGGGGTATCTGCTTTCTGAGTCGTTAAGCACCGTCCTTGTGTATTCCAAACAGTTTGTCAGTTTGGAGAAGTCGGGACGGCTGCAGCCTCCCGGTTTATTTGATTTCCCTCTTCAGTATCAGCAAAGACTTCCCTGAACTTTACCTGGATTTGGTTGTCTCTGTTTTTTGACGTTTGTATTGTCGTCTTACTAGTCTGTGCAGTCCAGAGTACTTGTACCTGATTCTTATTTCAAGTGTTGGTCCAGGAAGGGAATATGATCCTTATTTTCTAACCCAGACAGTTTCTTGGAGCGACTTTCACCTCCTCCTGTTTTTTTTTTTTTTTGGGACACTTCCTTGACTTTTCTTGCGTACCACTGC